GTTCACAGGAGTAGCCTCCGCAACAACATAGTCGCCTAACTTTGCACTCTTTAGGTGATTGATGCTGAGGTGGACGCCAGCTACTCTCTGAAGGCCTGAAGCAAGGTAGGCCCCAATGCTTGCTAGAGACTCGGCTATTAGTGCCGAAACCCCTCCATGCAGCACCTTGAACGGCTGTGCACACACATATTAAGACTTAATTACTGTGTTTTTTAACAAGGTAAAAAGAAAATGAAAGGGCATAAGAAATATTATTTTTCTCAAAACTACAAATGCATACACACAAAAATTCCTTCGTGTTTGTTATGCAGACAAAACAACTGTGTTAGTGCCAAATTTACCACGAAGAAAAAGAAAAGAAATTAAACTAACTTTGAATCTTACGAAACCAGCACTGAAGTTCGATCTTCCTTATATAAAAAGTTGCCATAATGTCATCCAGCATTTTTAAACGTCGTATCTCTCGGCTTTATGAGGTAAATTTAAAGTGGTAATAATTGTAATCTGCCTAAAGGTATTCATTAAAAAAGGTAGATAGAATGGACTCTACGGAGAAATATATACTACCTGACAGCACTTTTCAGTGATCATAACATGGCCCGAGACCTTTTCAGGCGAAAGGCAGTCAAGTTCAAAGCCAATCGTGTGGAGCGGAATATCCAAATCCTTTGTGTTTGATGGCAGCGGTTGGTTCATCTTCTCTCTGCTGAGTTTCTTCTTGTGTTGTCTTTATGGTTATAGATTATTCGCAGACCAATCTACTGTAAATCTGTGGAAAAGAATTAAATGGGAGGAAGTTAAATTCGATTGCATTTAGATAACCTAATACGAATAAACAAAACATGAGCAAGTTCTCAACGAAGTGGAGTTAGGCACATTGAAGATTACATCACATGATATTCCAAGAACACATAACGAAGAAAGTTGGCTAATTGAGGAATAATTTTTTACTATGCCTCGCATTTTGAAAATGGACCAAAATGTAGTGGGCGCCTAACATTGACATTGCGAAAAAACAGTGTTTATAGCACAGATTCGTACATTACACCACCATTTTATTTATTTTTTTCAAGAAGATTTTTTTTTTCAAATTCACATCAAGAATATGCAAGAAACCCATCAAGAATTTTAGTCCATATAACAGGATAGAAAACCACAACATAATAAAGCTTGCATTAATCATAAAATTGATAGAGTAAAGTAGAAAAATCTATAGCCATAATTGTTCGCAATTATATTATAGGCTATTAGCAGGACCAACCTAAAATTCCATCTACTTTGCAGACAGCTCAACTAACAATATGTTAATTAAGTATTATTAAACTGCCCAACAACTATATTAAAGACCCGCATTCAAACAGAGCAAATCAAACTACAATGGAAAAAAAGAAAGGATGAATTGCAGAGATTAAGCAAAACAACCCCAAATGTTTTGTAAGAACTCAGAACATACAAATACTCAACCAAAACAAACTAACAGAAATAAGTACACACAATTTGCGAGAAAATATTTCAAGATACATATAGTTAAGAAACAAGCTGNAAAAAAAAAAAATACATAAATAAAAATCAGAAAACTACCGAAAAAACAAGGGCTGAATCTGCAAAAACTCATCAACAACATAAATTTCAGGCCAAATCAAAAGCGAATTCACCTCTGAGTAGATTATTAAACGAATTTCAAGACAGGAAAAAATAGAAAAACTGACCAATATGTACGGCAATAGGGTAGAAAAGCCACCGTCGTGTAGAAAATATAGCTTTGCAAGAATGAATCTATAGTAATATAAAGAGGTTGTTGGAAAAATATAGAAATAGTAAGGTTGACCTTAAAAAATAATCTTTTGACTTACTACTTTTAGCAATCATTAAGTGCACGCGAATTGCTTGGATTTGGTCTAATTAATTTTTGTTTCAATCCTTCAATTTCATTGTCATACGGATTCCGATTTAATTGTGAAAATCACGGATTTTGTGCAATTCCAGTTACAATTTCCTTCTACATATCCGAATTGGTTGGGAATCCGTGTAACTTAATTGTTTTGATGCCAAAATTGGTTGATATTACGCAAAATCTGTAATTAAATTTGTGCCAAGATCGTATATTTAATTGCGGGATAATGATGGAAATTTTATGTTAAATAGGAATAATTGTATATTTATTTGTGAAAATCACGGATTATGTGCAATTATAGTTACAATTTCCTTCTACATATCCGAATTGGAGATTGAATCCGCGGGATAATGATCGAAAAGGTCCGGTAAATAGGAATAATTGTATATTTAATTGTGAAAATCGCATATTTAATTAATTGAGATTGAATCAAAATTGTCCACATTGTATTAGTTGACCAATATGCAAGTAAATCGGATTTGCCGCAAGAAAATCGTACAATTAGGTGATTGAGATTTAGTCAAATTTGTCCACGTAAATCGGATTAATATCAAGTAAAATCGTTTTATCTTTTTGCAAGTAATTTGAATTAATATCAACACAATATTTAATTTAATTAATTTATAAATACTAAAACGGATTTGCCGCAAGTAAATCGTACAATTAGGTAATTGAGATTTAGTTGACCAATATGCAAGTAACTAGGATTTGCCGCAAGTAAATTGTACAATTAGGTGATTGAGATTTAGTCAAATTTGTCCACATATTTTTGCAAGTAAATCGGATTAATATCAAGTAAAATCGGTTTTTCTTTTTGCAAGTATATCGAATATCGAATTAATATCAACACAATATTTAATTTAATTAATTTATAAATACTAAACACATGCTTATATAAACATCACAAGACTTTACAACAGATAATAATTACGCACATATCCCACAGTAACTCTTTTTTTTCAAGCTTTTCCAACATAATTCAACATGTCTTCCGATTTTGGAGTCATCAAGGATATCGACAGATCCAAAAAACCACCGATCAAGCTACGCATAATTAGGATGTTTCAACGAATTGAAGATGTTCGCAATTACCGAAATGTTCTTGAGATTGTCTTTCACGATTCTGAGGTAATATATTCTTTAACAAATTTTGATACCCAACACTAAATTCGATGTTAAATATTATTTATTTTATGTATTTACTTATCGCGGTAATTAAATATATACATTAATATATTTAATTATTGTTGTTGTATTTTATTAGGGTTTACGCATTACGGGCATTATTCGACCTGTCAACATCAAAANTCATGCTATTGCGGAATATGGACCATTCTATGGGTCTGTGTAATGGGACACGATTGGTAGTGACAAAGCTCTCCACTCATGTTCTCGAGTGTAAGATCCTCACTGGCGATCACGAAGGTGATAAAGTGTTGATTCCAAGAATGGCTATAACTCCATCTGATGTTAGAATTCCTTTCAAATTCCAACGTCGTCAGTTTCCCATTATGGTCTCTTATGCCATGACTATAAATAAGAGTCAGGGACAATCGTTGTCTCATGTGGGCTTATTTCTTAAGAAACCGGTGTTTAGTCATGGGCAGTTGTATGTAGCTGTCTCCCGTGTCACAAATAGAATTGGTTTGAAAATCCTAATTTGTGGCGACGATGAATTGCCAACAAATCAAACCATGAACGTTGTATATAAGGAAGTGTTCAATAATATATAGATTATTTTCGTTATATGTATCAGTTTATTATTTAGGGATGACATGATGTTTCCTTTACTACGTACTTTGATTTTTAATTTAAATTTGCTTTGTAAAAGGGACGGAGATTTTAACCCCCGGTGCATCGCACGGGTACTGTACTAGTATATTGAAAAAGAGAGGTCAATAAATCCTTTTGGGGAAAGTTTTAAAAAATTTGAAGTCAACCTTATTGACTTACCAAATTTGGCAATCCCCTTTCAAATGTGGAATTAATTTTTTTTATACGGATTCAACAGGCAATTTTTTAGGTAGAATTCACGGATTCACGTGAGCAATTAGTGGCAATTTTTTAGGTAGAATTCCAATTAGTTGTTATAAAAATCTGCTTAATTTGCGCGTGGAATTCAAACTTTGGATACAAATTCACGTGAGCAATTTATTGGAATTTTTGATACAAAGTGACGTGCCATATTTTTAGGTTGATTTCGAATTAATTGCTATCAACATCTCCTAATTTATCTCTAATAGTTATCCAATGGCGTTTAAAAATGTTTTACCCTTATTTAACAGATTTTTATCAGTTAGTTATATACTAACAATATCCTCCCACAATTTCGGTAGAGATAAACATGTACAGTGTATAAAAGGGTAGTCATTGATACCCTTTTTCATTCACCTCATCAAACGCGCAACACACTCATAATACAAAAATAAAAGAAAACATCATGGCACCATATTTTGAAAACGTTCACGCCGTCAACAATCACAACAAGCCTTTTTTGAGGTTGAGAGTAATCCGTTTGATTGAAACTCATGACGATCTGGAGCATCGGAATGCTATTCATATCCTGTTTCATGATCAACAGGTAATTAATCGAATTGTGTTATTAATACATAACTACATGTAAAACTACAATTAGCTTCATATCATTTTTCAATATTTTTTTAATTTATATTAATTACAAATTGTAGGGTTCATACATCGCTGGAATAGTGCATTCGCCGATCGTGGGATTATATAGAGATCTCCTTAAAGAGGGCGATGTGTACGGAATTCGCAATTATAATGTTGAATATAATAGGGGGAGGTACAATGCAATAACCCATCATTGGAAGCTTGTGCTTAATGGAAGAACTGATGTATGCAAGTACATTGCGAATTTTCCTCAATACAATTTTCCTCAACACTAGCGAGTGGCAGATGCGGCATGCGAATTTTCCTCAATACAATTTTCCTCAACACATTCATCAAATTATTTTTATATGTATTTTGATTTCAAATTCCGAATTATAAGGTTTGGTGAAATTTATTATGTTTAATTTATATCCATTGTGAATCAATTTTTCGGCAATTTTGATTCCATTTTATTATGTTTTCTGTCCTATAAAAATGTCGGGTAGATCTTTATTATACACTTATTACCAATATTGTAGTTGGATATTAAAAAAAAAGTAGATAATTTCCAATAAATTTTGTAATTAACAATCGGAAACAATAGATTGCTTCTGTAATATAATATAGATTTTACTATCTTTTTTTTTTCGATAAATTTACACGCATGAAAAGAAAAGGCCGAATAGTGAAATAATGCAATATAATCAAATTGAATAACAACCTTCATAATAATTTGTGTTTTGCATGAAAATTAAATATCATGACAACCGGATTTTATTGATATTACACTTTAATAAATTAATTGAACGGATTTTGTATATTACACGTTATTTATATTACACTTATAAACCATTCGTAATTCAACTGTTACAGGTGATCGTTTAGAATCTAAAATATCTGTTTCTTTTTAAATTAAATATTAATATCAAATGTTTATTTTTGTAGAGGGGAAGTATATATGTAATGCGTCCATAAATATTGGCATTAAAATCTCTTTAAGATTCTATCTAATTTTGGAAACCTTAATAAGTGCGATTTCTCAATAAATTCGGATTTACAAAAGATTTTTATTATATTAGTAATTTCAATATGATTTTAAACAATTATATATGTCATGTGTCCATAAAAATTGCCATTCAAATCTCTTTAAGATTCTAAACGCGATTGGGAGCCCTTAATAAGTAGGATTTTT